CCCACTCAGTATATTCTTGTAATTGCATAACTCGGCACTGGGAGCAGAGCCCAACCCCGGGTCGAACCCTTCTGTCCCTGTGGTTAGATGAGAGGTCCCAAGCCAGCACTTCAGCCGTGTCTTCCCATGGATATAGGGCCTGGCGTATAATGGGTCCTCAAAAGGAATTTTTCCAATAAATATTTTCATTTTAACTCTGAATTTTAATTATTTCATACGCAGGTTGTTTTATGTCTGGTGTTTATAAGTAAGTGACTGCCAGCAAGCAAAACTAATTTTGCTCTATTTTAAAACTAATTTACATCAAAGGCCTTTGATCTTTATGCTGATAGAAAACAGGATGATTATAACATAATGTCCTAAGCTATTTGCTTTTCGATTATCTTTCAGATTATTTGAATATATTTTGCTCTATAAGGATGGTGTGATGTTTCAAATTGAACAAGCCACCAAGCTCTGCTCCAAGATTCCCCTGCCTGGTCCCTGGGACCCCCTGGACATTCCTGAGAACTCCACCTTTGAAGATGAGTACTCCATCGGGGGGCCGCAGGAGCAGATCACCGTCCAGGAGTGGTCCGACAGAAAGTCAGCTAGAGCCTGTAAGGACAGGAGGTTTGAGTGCAGTGTCCCGGGACACACAGTGGGAGAGAAGGGTTAAGTTCATTAAGGGAGGTGGTAGTCAGGGCAACTTACAAGCGTACTTAAATTACTTAAAGTCCTGTGTAAGTTCCCACATGTACTTGAGAATAATGCCACACTAGGATATTTTGGCCGGCTCCATGGCCTAGCAGTTAAGGGAATCAGATCCCACATGGCTGACCACAGGGTTCAAGTCCCAGCCACAGTGGCTTGAAAAATACACAAGTGCATACCCCAGAATGGACAGGGTGGGGAAATGGAAAAGAAAGAACTATGGCACAACCAGGCCCCATTGGCAGGTACTCTCTCCCTCTCCTCCTTTCTCTGTCTCGAACTCTGGTGAGTGCACATGCCCTTCAGGGGAAAGAGAAAAGAAGGCATCATTTGAAACACCTGGCGTGTAGCATTCCCCATTCCCTTCTAGCACTTGGCCTCTTACGGACTTAGCTGTGTTTTGACTTTCCACAATCTCCCCGAGGTCTCTGAGATGCACTTGAACCAGCTGCCTCCTTCTCCTTCCCCCACTTCACCTCCTGAAGCTGCAGCGGCCAGACGTACGCCCATCCTTCTGAGCGTAGAACGGGCCTGCTTTTAGGTGGTGCTCTCTCTGCTCAGCCGCTGATAGGCCTTTCCCGAGAGGGTTTAGCACATACAGGGGCCAAAATGCGGCAGAAAACAGCTTGGCAGTTTCTCAGAAAATGAATCACGATTGCCACGTTATCCAGCAGTTTCACTTCTGGACATATATCTCAAAGAATTAAAGGCCGGGACTCAAACAGGTATCTGTATACTGCATTCACAGTGGTCTCATGTACAGTAGTTAACAGATGGAAATAATCCGAATGTCCACCAGCAGATAAATGGGCAGAACGGCTGTGGTGTGTGTGCAACGGACTCTAATCCAGCCTGAGGAAGGAAGGGAATTCTGAGATGAACCTCATGACAAACCCTGAGGACGCTATGTTAAGGAAATAAGGTCATTGCAAAAGGATTAATACATGATATCACTTATACCCAATTCAGAGAGACAGTAGAATGGCAGTTTTAGGAACTGGAAGGAGAGGAAAAGTGGGAAGTTATTGTTTAACAGAGTTTCAGTTTGAGAAAGACAAAAAGTTCTAGAGGTGGACAGTGGTGATGGTACAACAATGGGAACATATTTGATACTCCTTAGCTGTATTAAAATGAGTCCCTCTGTGGTGGCACACAGGTAGCACCACTGCTTAGGAGGCTGAAAGCCACACGAGGCCCAAGTTTGGTTCCCAGGTAGCCTGAAACATGCAGATGCCATCATGTACACTGATGATCAGAGCTAATTGGGAGGATGGAGCAGGAAGACCTCAACACAGCAAGACCCTACCCAAAATACATATCTCTGTCTCTCTCTCTCCCTTTCCCCCTCTCTTTCTCTTTCTCTGATAAAAAACAGTGGTTAAAATGGTAAATTTTATGCTTTGTGTATTTTACCACAATTAAAACAATTAGACATTTTGCCTGTCTTCTCTATTAAAAAATCAACTCTGTTCTTCTTGTAGATGAAACCTGGATTGGCATTTATACACTCAAGGATTGTTATCCTGTCCAGGAAACCATCACTAAAAATTACAGTGTGATATTGTCTACTCGATTTTTTGATATACAGCTGGGTATTAAAGACCCGTCAGTGTTTACCCCTCCAAGCACATGCCAGACTGCCCAGCTGGAGAAGATGAGTGAAGACTGCCCCTGGTGAGCCTGTACAGACACGGAAGGAGCAGCAAGGGCCGCCAGGGCCTGGGCTGGAGATGGATTTAATTATGGTGGGCCTGAGAGTCTTCATCAGAGATAAAGACACTTTTAGGAAGCCGTCATTGATGTGGATTTTTGAATGTTTGATGCTGACTACTCAAGCTGTTTACAGAAGAGTATGGGATGAAGAACACCCAGTAATAGGAGCGGACTAGCTAGCTAACATGGACACCTGACATGTACAGAACCTGTCTGGGTCTGTGTTTTCTGCGTTTGCAGGAGTGACCTCAGTGCGGTGGCTTACAGAGGGGCTAGGGGCTAACAGGAGCAGTTTGCCTTGGTGGGATGGAATCATTTATTAGTGACATTGTGAAGAACTCGTGGTGATAATGAAAAGCAAAATGATTTGGGGGCAATTTTATTATTTATTTTCAAGTTTGCTCAGACAATGTCCCCTTGTACCCAGGTGCCAGCCACTTCTGCTGACCCACACACACCCTGCCCTGTGCAGCCTTGACCACCAACAGAATGATCCTTTAAAATTCCTTCCAGGCTCAAGAGCTTTACAAGGTTGGAGTAAACATTATTCCTCTGAAGAGACATTTGAGAAGAGGATTTAGAAAACCCTAAGTGTGAGCCACGTGTGCTTCCTTCTTCCTATGCAAGAGCATTGCTGTTTGTGCTGAATCCTCACGGACCCTCAGTCAGCAGGTAGTGTTCTAAACAGTACCTAATCAGCGTCGGGAGCCTATCGTCCCCCAAATCCAGGACTAGAACCCCCTTGTGTTCTAACTCCATGGGCTGTTAAATGTGCTAGGCCTGCCCTCACCTCAGCCTTCCTGGGTCAGTGTTCCACGCCTCTGTGTCGACCTGACATCTGCTCATCCGCCCAGGTCAGCTCACAGCTAACCACCCCTGGGAGCTGCTCCCACGTCCAGATTTCTCCCCTTGCAGTTTGAGCATGCTTTCCTCATAATGCTTCATACTGCTTCCCAGACACTGTCACCCACTATCCTGGCTGGAGGGGTGCTGTGTCCCATTTTCTTTTATATCCCCTGCACCAAGCAAGTGCCTGGCACATAGTGCCCCAGACGTGTGGAGTGGAGAGTGCTAGCCTCTGGTCCTTAGTTCCTTCATCTGTTCAACGGGGTTGAGTTTGCTCATCTCTAGGGACACTCCAGTAATAAAATGTATTATCATTCTAGATTCTTCTGCAATTTCATCCGGCCATTTCTCTTGTTTAGGTACCAGGAGAAATGTGTGCTACTTATGCTGAAAATAGTCTGTAATACTCAGTTTTTCTGTATTATCTCAATAAATAAATCTAAATGCATTGCAAAGCATTCTTTGATGCATTTGTTTTCTTAATATGGATATCTAAGTATGGATGATCTTGGTTATAAGGGAGTTAAGACAATTTCCAGTTGCTTGGGTTGGAAGCTTCAGTCATTCTTGACCCGTGGTCTCCAGTCCCCACCAACAATCAGTACGTTGTGTCTCGTCAAATAGTTCTTTTTTTAGAATTATTTAACTTTATTATTTTTGTTTTACTTTTAATTTGACCAGAAGGAGAGAGAGAGAGGGAAAGTGAGAAAGCAAGCTGCCAGGTCCAGGACTCAAACCTCAGTTGGCCATGTGGGAGTTCCGTGCCTCAACCACCATGCCACCTGCCAGCCTAGTTAAATCCACTGCCCCAAGTCCGCCTTCTCAGCCATCATCAGCTCCAGGCTCCTAACACTGTGGGCCTGTACCGGATCCTCACACCCTCTGTCCTTGCCCTGGTCCCCTCCCTAGAAGTGATCCTGTGTTCACTCACTCCTTCCTTCCTTTCTTCAGCCAGGCAGTCACAGCCCGGTACTTCACACCTGTCTTCTCCAGTCCCCAGGCAGGTTCCTGGATCCCAGAGGAGGGTGACACCTGTGAAGGCAGGCCTCTGAAATGCGCCGGCCAGAGAGGTGCACAGATGCATCCAGGTGGCCCAGGCCAATATACCCTCATGACAGTGCTTGCCCACCCCCATCTCTCCACCCTTGGCATGGCCTGCTCCTCTCCAAACCACAACCCTCCCCTCAACCCTGGGATTTGGTCTTTGTCCTTGCAGGGCCATATCCCCATCAAAAGAGAAAGGAATAAAACACCTTTTATCCTATTCAGAAATATGCAGAGTGGGTTCCCTTTTCTTTTCAGTTGACCCATCTTAGCAGTTAGGCCACTTCATTGAAATGAATACAAAGTCCAGAAGGATTTTATGTTGGTGGGGCCTCCATCAGATGGAGTATCTGATTGAGGCTCTGACCCTGTGGTTCTCCACTGACTGAAAGTGAAACAGAGACCCCAAAGCATTTTGATCAGGCCCCTGACTCTTTCCAGCCTCACCACTGGCACTGATTTTTCTTCTCCCAACTGTCACGAGTGCTGGAGAAGTAGCCTGGGTTACCACTGGGTGACGGGAGTACTTCCTTAGTCAAAATTCTTGTGCAAAAATTCCTAATCGGATCAGAGAGTTGTTAACGAGGGCAAAGACTTGCACCTGCTCATGAAGAGAGGTGTCCCAGCATCTCTTATCTCTAGATGTGGCCTGACTGGCAATGGGTTTGAACTGGGATGAGGAACCAGTATGTCTCTGACCCTTTATGCTTCAGAGCAGCAATTCCTTTACCTCACCAAGTTAGTCTAGAACTGCCAAATTACCAGGATCTGTGCAAGCAGTGGGGTGTGCTCAGTTCTCCACCTGCCTGCAAACCTGCCAGGCAGAAGAGGCCCAGCCCCAGACCGAACCAGCACTCGCTTTCTCTACTGATGCATGTGAAGGACAGGAGTCCTGACCTATGACCCCAGTTGTTCTATTTTCAGGTTTTGCTAATTGAAATTCCTAAAATTGGGACACATTTGAAAATTACTCAAATATTTAGTGAACACCAAAATTTAGGTCTCTGAGGAAATTTAACATGAAGTACAGTACTCGTAATCTCCACAATAACAAATTCACATCATTTGAAACGTTTTATTTTTAAAAAAGAGAATATTGCTATAGGACACGTGCACTCACTGGAGAGACTGAGACAGAAAGCAAGAAATCACTCCTCAGGGGATGATTGCACTGCAACCTTTCTCCTCCATTCTCCTCTCAGGATTCTGGGCGTGCATGCACACACACGCACAAGCACCCCACATGAGTTTTAGTCACTGGGTTCAGGACCCAAACTGCAGTCAACTACAAGGGAATCCAGTGACATAGCCGTCACACCATCTGCTGGCCCCATCGTTTGAAAACTCAACGCTCGCCTCATGCTAGGTTCCCTTACTAAGGCAGCCTTCTCATTGCTTCCTGTTATTTTACATCTCTGCCTGTGCTCACCTGGGCCACACAAAGGTGCGTCTCAGTCCTTCCCGATAGGTAGCTCTTGTCTTCCTTCATCTACAGAAAGCACTCAAATGCAAGAACAGTATCTATGTCACTTTTTAACACTTGAACTCTTATTTTTTTAATTGCCAGAGGGCACAGGTGCTTACCAGAGACAGACTGAGAAAAAGAAAGTACCCTGCAGTGGGGTGTGGTCATGCTGCAACCCCTTCTCCTCCATTTCTCCATGCTTTTGGGGTTTGGGGCATCCGTGCACACACATCTGGCATGATTTACAAGAAGCAGGGGCCAGAATTCAGACTGTGGTCAGACATATGGGCTCAGCTCCTTTAACCAATGAACAACAGGGCCAAGTCCAGTGTCCTTGTCCTTGTTGAGTCAAACTAACTTGATTTCAGTTGAATGAGAGAATGAGATTCCTCAGCTCAAGACTTGGGAATAATTTATGAGATTTAAAGGCTTTATAGGTGAGCACTTCTTTTTTTTTCCCCTTTAGTGTGCTCACTGGAAAGAGACAGAGAAAGAGAGAGAGAAAGAGAGAAGGGAAGCGAGAAAGCACCTCCCCCTTTCTCCCTTTCTCAGAATTTTTGCACATGAACCGTTTTTTAAGTTGCTGAGTCCAGGACTCAAACCTTGCAGTCGACTATGTGGGAAGTCGACTAGCTGCCTTCACCACCACTCCACCAGCTGACCTATTGAAAATGTCTTTAAAAAACAAACTTAACTTTATTTATGGGTATTCTAGCCTCCATAAGCATCACTTTTATGAATGTTAGGATAATAACAACAAAAATATACCTTTTTCAAAGCAAAACTAGTAGTTCAGCCACATGTGTAAAAAAAAAATTTGGCCCATCATTTGTTCTCTTCAGTGAGTGTACATGCCTATAGCAAAAATCTCTCTGAAAATAATAAAATAATTTTTATTTTGTCTATTTACAACAAATAAAGTTCAGTATTATGATGTGTTCAAGTGTGTAGAAATTGAGTCTTGAAAGACATTCAGTTTAACTTTGTATGGAAATTATATTATTATATAGTTAGTCCTTGAATAATGATGTCATCAAGTGGTTTTGGAAATTCTCTAGTCTATCTTATTCTTCTGAAACTCCTTACCTTCCCTGTTCAGTTATGAGAACTCTGTACTGCCTGGGTCTTGGGTTTGGAAAAAGGGAAATGAGCTGTATTCAGATCATTCAAATACAAAAATTTAGAGTTTATTATGGTATTTGTAGCAGATGCTCCTGGAATGGAGAGAAGGGAAAAATTTCCCTAGATTGCTGCCACATATATTCTTATGCTACAACCGATCTGCTTAAGACTGCTTATAATAAATTTTCCATTTATTGCTGCCACATATATTCTTATGCCACGGCTGATCTGTTTAAGATTGCTTATAATAAATTTCCCATTTATGTACATCTATGTCTCTACAAGAGTGCTCACCAGCATCTTTAGTTAACAAAGTCATATATAAACGGGCTAAACTGGACACCTTAAGCTTGGAAATAAGACTAAGCTCTGAGATTGAAAGGGTTAGACCAATGCCTAATGAACAGATGAATTAGCTATGTAGAGAAGAACGTCATGGAAAGAGAGGGTCCGTAAGTTCAGGTCTGAAAAACTGGAGAAATCATGAATTCCAATGAAATAAGATTGCTATTGGGATGCAAGCTCACCTAGGCTCAGTCAGAATTGGGCTGATGTGAAAGAATGCTGAATTGTTATCATTTTGTCTGAAGACAAAGTGTTTTAGCAGGAGGTTGGTTTATATGGAGTTTAGTTAGGGAACCTAAACCGAGGATTTGGCATTGTTTTCCGATCTGTGTCCAGGAGAGTAGAATATGGGATCTGGCAGACATACAGAGGACAGTGGGGACAATTACGAGATTAAAGTCATGTGTTGTTACTTGGGCCAAGATTCAGGAATATCCAGATCTCACTTTGCCTCTCTGTCAGGAATCTATAGAGGAGCAAGCTCAGAAGGCAGAGCCAGCAGATCCTTACCATTACTTAGTGGGGGCTTTGGCTCCAAGTTTTTCTGCAGAACGTGGCTAACCCAAGCTAGAGCAAGTGCAGGAAGTAGAGGCCAAAGCAGCCACAGGCCAAAGCAGGCTAAATTACTAGGTCTGTCCATTCTGCCATAAGTACCGGCTCTTGCCGATCTCACCACTTCCAGTTCAGCAAAAGGACACACAGGATAGACCCCAGTGCTGGAGAGGAAGCAAGGCCCAGAAAGAATCTGCCTCAGTGCCCAATGTTTTCTTCCCCAGACCTTGTCTGGTCAGAGCACTAGCCAGCCTTCAGGGGCGAAGGGGTGGTGTGGCAGTAATGCAGTCTTTTTCCACATGGAAGAGGTCCTGGGTTCATGTCCTAGGGCTTCCCTGATGATTCCAGTAGTGTACATGTGCCTGAGATTAGAGCCAGCTAGAACTGCGTGTAAATCCCAGTGTGAAAACCTTTTTGGGGGATCTTCTCTCTCAGAAGAAAGATAAATGTTTAAAATTTATTTTAAAGCCAATCTGCATGAAAAGGAACACTCAAAACAGAGAGAAAGATTTGGCCAGGACTGTTGCTTATGTAAAATCCAATAAATCCAGATAAAAATCCCTGCAGACCAGGCAGATTCCCTTCTGAAGAGAAATTTTACTTCATGGGACCAGCAGATGGCATAATGGTTAAGTTGCTGGACTACATGTAATTAACTGCAATTTGGGTCCTGGACCTGGTGGCTTGAAACTCATACTGGGTGTGCGTGCATGTGTGCCCAAAATCCTCAGAGGAGAATGGAGGAGAAGGGATTGTGACATGGCCATCCCCCTGGTGGGAGGGGGAATGATGGGTCAGGACACATTCTGTCTCTCTGTCTCTCCAGCAAGCACATGTGTCCTATAGTAAAAATCTCCTTTAAAAAAAGAGAAATTTTACTTTTTGAGTAATTTGTTTAAATCATAAGTGACTATCTAAAATGGG